CATGCGCGCTTGCATGTGTGTTTATAATTTATATAATATTTTATTTTTAATATTTAGGAACCTGAAACAGAAGCTGTATCTGATGAAGAATTACCAGCAGCAGCTCCAGCAGATTTGGGAGAAACTGAATCAGTTTCTGAAGATGAATTACCATTAGATAGTGAAAGAAAAAAGAAAAGTGGAACAAAGGTAATGAATAAAATCGCAGAAAAGAAGAACAAAACGGAAGGCACAAGTAAGAAAAAAAAATTTATTTAAATTTTTAAAATTGTTATATTTCGGTCTTTTTATTTTGTACTATATTTGTTTTCAGATAAACGTAAATTAAATGCAGAAGGAGAGTATGATCCTAGTTCACCAACATCTGAAAATAATGATGAAACACCAGCAAAGAAGGTAGCTCTTTCAACAGAAACAGATCCAGGGGATAATAAGCAAGAAACTAAACCAGCATCGCCAAAGAAAAAGACATTACCAGAATTAGAAAAATACTGGAAAGCTGTTAATGAAGATCCATCAGATTTCACAGGATGGACTTATCTTCTCCAATATGTTGATCAAGAAGTAAGTTAAAAAGCAACAATACTATAAAAATTATACTTAATATATGATTTATTTGTCACATAGAATGATGCAGAGGCTGCACGTGAGGCTTATACCAAATTTTTGGATCGTTATCCATATTGCTATGGTTATTGGAGAAAATTCGCTGATTACGAGAAGAAGAAGGGCAACCCCGATAATGTCCAAAGGGTGAGTCAATTCGTTTACCATATTTATTAGATCTATTTCTTATTATGATATCATTTAATTAACGCAATCTAATGAAAATAGCTCGAGTTAGGAAGACGCGTGGGCAGTGTGCACGCACGTAAATATGGTTTTCCCTTCCAACAGCCTAGCACGTCTTGCGGCACCTATACGACTCTCTCCGTTTACCAAATAGCTAGTTACTTAATTATTCTGCGATATCTACAATATTATTGCGTATATTACTGTTTTACTTATACCGTTATATCGATATTCTACATACGATACGTAAGTCAAGCGAAGGCTAGTTGTTTCAATTTGCGATATTACCGTGCAAGAAATTGTGTATAATATTTACTGTAAGCATTTGTACACATAGCTTACTACAGAAAGTATTGTAACTTAAGCATAAGATGCGGTACCTTACTTAATGTAAGTAAGATTGGGTTGGGTGTTAAATCAAAGTCAGAAACAAAGACTTAGGACGTGAACATGCCAGAGAGGGAGCAAGAAAATGTGGCGGAAGACACAGAGGCACCCAGATCGGAACACTCCTTGACTTTAAGGTGAATGCACAATGCTCTGCAATCTCTGTGTTAATTAAATCTCTTTATTTACAGTACGCGTATGATATGTGAGTATACGTTGCTAAAAAACCGTAATGCTTATCGAAAGCTTAAAAAAAAAAATAAAAAAAAACAAAAAATAGGTATAAGTCTACCCGCCACCAGCCCAATCACTTGTAAACTATTCTAAATGTGATTGCAAACCATTACTACAGGTATTCGACCAAGGTTTGAAAGCTATTTCGCTCAGTGTCGACCTTTGGCTTCATTACATCAACCACTGCAAAACCGTTTATGAAAAAGATGAAGAAAAACTTCGAGAACAATATGAAAAAGCTATCCAGGCATGTGGTCTTGAATTCAGGTGCGAAATATATATCTTCGATTTTTTATGCATATTTATATAATATTTATAACAGATGTATATTTTTTTATTTAGATCTGATCGTCTTTGGGAAAGTTATATAAAATGGGAATTAGAAGGCAAACGTCTAAGCAGAGTAACAGCATTATATGATCGTTTATTATGTACTCCAACACTTGGTTATATTTCTCATTTTGATGCATTTCAAGAATTTGTTTCTTCAAATTTACCAAATCGTATTTTAAATGTTGACGATTTTCTTGCATTACGTGCTGAAGTGAAAGCACTTTTGAAATCGGATGACACTACTTCTACTTCAGCAGCTGATGATGCACCACCTGGTGAAGAACCGCCGCCACATGAACTTCCTCCAACTGATGAAGAAACCCGTGCTATTAGAGAAAAAATTATTAGTAGTAGACGTAAAATGCATAAAGCTAATATTAATGCAGTTGCTGCAAGATGGTCATATGAAGAAGGTGTAAGTACATCATATACTTAATGTGATATTTATTATTTAATATTTAATCTTTACTTACAGATTAAAAGACCATATTTCCATGTCAAACCTTTAGAACGATGTCAATTAAAAAATTGGAAGGAATATTTAGATTTTGAAATTGAACAAAAAGATCAAAATCGAATAATCATTTTGTTTGAAAGATGTTTAATAGCATGCGCTTTATATGATGAATTTTGGATGAGAGTAAGTTTTTCTTATTTATTTTGATTCGAAAATATTTCTGCATTTAATTTTTAAATATTTTTTAATTATTTTATAGTTTGTTCGTTATTTGGAATCCTTGAAAGGCGATAATGTGGAAAAAATAAGAGATGTATATACTAGAGCTTGTACAGTGCATCATCCAAAGAAGCCAAATTTACATTTGCAATGGGCTACATTTGAAGAAGGTCAGGGTAATTTTGAAAAAGCAGCAAACATATTGGAAAATATTGATAATGTAATACCAAACATGTTACAAGTGGCATATCGGAGAATAAATTTAGAACGTAGAAGAGGAGATTTAGATAAAGCTTGTACATTGTATGAAAATTATATTAGCAATAGTAAGAATAGAACTATCGCAAATAATATTGTAGTAAAGTATGCAAGATTTTTATGTAAAGTAAAAAATGATGTGGATAAAGCAATTAAAGTATTATTGAAGGTATGATCATGTTGATATTTACAATACATTTCATATATTTTTTATCTAATTATATACCTTTATAATTTAATTTAACTTTTAAATAATTTTATATATTATATATTTTTTAGGCAACAGAAAAAGATAAAGATAATCCAAGACTTTATTTGCAATTAATTGATTTGGGAATGCAAAGAACTCCTGTTGATACTCAAGAAATTGTCGGATATATGGATATGTTTATAGAACGAGAGCATGCTGATCTAGAACAAAGAGTACTTTTTGCACAACGTAAAGTAGAATTTCTTGAAGATTTTAGTCCAGATATTCGACAAATATTAAAAGCACATGAACAATTTCAAAAATGCATCAAACAAGCAAAGGAACGAAAAAAGACGAAAAATGATGATACCAAAACGTAAGTATTATTTTTATAAAAAAATATTTAAGCTATCATCAATAAAATAATTAAATTGCGCAAATTTAATGTTCTATAGAGATACTTCTCCTCCAAAGAAAGTTAAAACTGGAGATCAGACTAATGTACCACCTCCACCTTCTGTAAGTTCACAGTCATCATACCAGTATAGCAGTGGCCCAAGTGGACCTTATCAATCACAACAACAATTTCAAAGTGGTCAATATGGTGGTCAAGGTGGATATCAACAAGGTTATCAACAGTATCCACCTCCTTCCGATCCTAATTATGCCAACTATCAAAATTGGCAATATGGACAAGGAGGACCTCAAGCATATGGACCGTACAATCAATGGGGATCTTATAATTACTATTAGAAGATAATACAAAATTTCTCTTGTACCAGCTTTCATTGCGTTGCTGTATCTACTGTACATTTTAAAATCTTTATTTTTTCATCTAAGGATGACAGACAACAAAAGAAGCAAAATTCTTTCAAGTTCCAATGACACATCAGTGACCTGACACGAATAATAATAATAATAATAATACTTGTCGTACTGATGTTTTTTTTTTCAATACATAATAATTATTTGCATGAAATTCTTTCTTAATATATTTTAAATAATACAAAAGTGTAGGAAATATTAAAGAATTTCCCGACTGATGTTGAATATATTATTAAAGACATACATGATACAGGTAGTTGATAAAGAATGCCATATGGTACGAAAGAAAGTACATTATGTGAAATATTCTCCAATTATACTATTTGCATTAAGTTTGTATAATGCAATATTCTACGTCTAATTTTATTCCGTGACGTGTTATTTCTTTAACAGGAGAGTAGCAGTTCATAAATGTTACCTACAACTTGTATAAGTATTTTTTCCGTGTACTTAGTTTATAATATTATAATTTTTTTTTTGCTGATATGCGTTAAACGTATCGCTTAAAAAAAATTAAAAATATATGTAAATGGAAAAATAGATATTTGAATATCCTAGAGATACTAGGTAAGCGCACTTTATGACGTATTCACGGAATAAGCATTGTTAATATTTGTCAGTACATTTTTGATAAACAATAAGTAAAAGAAGAGAACTACATTTTTATAACATGTTCAGTTATAAAAATTATCGTTGGAATTATATTTTTAAGTTACAAATGCATATTATTTTGTATGTTGTAATTTCGCATTTGTAATTATAATCTGAATTTTGTCGCAATCGACATAGAAATCACATACATTCAAGAAATTTTCTCTGTATGTGAATTTTTATAATTTACAATAAATGAAATTTAAAACTTATATAAATATTTCTAATAATACACAACAATGCATTGTTTGTGTTAATTTAGAATTTCAAAGAAATATATTTATGACTGTCGAAATAAGAAAAAATATAATTTTTAATTACATTCTGAATATATTGATGTTTCAATTTATTTATTAATATATCTTCAAAAAATTAATGTCTTCATTCTGTTAAATTTTCGATATTCGAAAGTCGTTAAATTGAAGAGAACAATAACAAAACATAAATATTTGTAACAAACATGCTTTTTTATTATAAAAACATCATTATGATTCTTAATAATTATAATTGTATAATTGTAAAAATTTCATTATTAATATCATTATTAGTATTAGTATTTATTACGAATTTGCAATTTTAATTATGAAACATAACATTTATGATGTTTTATCATTAAAATATGTTACGTTAAATTTTTAAAGTGCAAGCAACTAATTTCATTCATATTACATTAATATAATTTTATTTTTATTACAGTATAAAAAAAAAAATATAATTTTATTTCGAAGAAATTAAATATTATTAAAGGCATTAATTTCTTAAATATATTTGTTATGCAACTATCGCACTTGAAGCCATCGCGTTAACTCCACAGGTACCATCTCCTCTATAAACTCTATAATAACCATTCTCGCCCCATCGTGAACCCCAACTATTCTTTATTATCCAGTATGGTAATTCTTTATGAAAGAGAGGATATTCTAAAAAACAATATACCATGTAAAAGGATAAAAAAATTACTGTATTTAAAAAGTTTATCAATATACATACTACTAATGCCATATCCCACAATTAAAACTCCATGATCTAAATTTTTAGGATTACATAAGAAGTGAAATGGATGTGAAACTCCTCCAATATAAAATTGCATGGCATTGGCATTGATTCCAATGGAAATTGGCCCATTTTTAATAAGCCATTGTGCCATTTTTGTTTCATTTGAAGTAATATTTACAGCACCGACAACTTGTACCTTAGCATTTTTTTTAAAGAAATGGCATTTTTCATTTTTGCCATCATAAGGATAGTCTGATTCTAATTCGAGACCACCTAATTTTTCTATAGCTTTATAAGCATTTTCCATGTATCCTCCATTGCATCCTTCATCTAAAGTATCACAATCTAATAATTCTTGTTCTGATAAAGATAATAATTTTTTATATTTAATCGCGTATTGGCCTTCCACATTTCCAGTAACAGAAAATGCCCAACATGATCCACATAGACCTTGATCTTTCACAGGCGTAACTACATTGTAATCACGCCAATCGAATTTAGATGGTAAAAAAATATCTGATACTTCAGTTTTAGCAAGAGGTATTTCATTCTCTTGTTTTAATTCAGGACGAAAACCTAAATATTGAGTTTTAAATTCTTTAGGCGTAAGATCTGCAAACATTGTAACACCATATTCAGCTGTTCCTTGCTCAAATGTTTGCAATTCTTTAATAACTTTTAGATTCTGCTTAAAGATTTGAAAACGATTTTGTTTTTCATTGGTTGAACTAAATGTTTTGTTAAATTTTATAATAAAATCTTCAAATAACATTTCATTTTTTATATCTTGAGCTAATTTTAACATTTTTTGATTATATTTACTACCTCGTAAAGATCGTTTTCGACGATTGTTTAAATCACAATTAATGGTAATTTTTGGAGATCCTTTATCTATCCATGGCTGAGACCATATACTGAACAAACATTCTTTAATTTCAGTTCCCTCTTTCAACTGACATTTATCTTTTGTACCTTTTGGACAATTACTTGTACCTAATTTAACTCTTATTTTATATAAATACCCAGATACTACTTGTCGTGAGGCATCAACAATTTCTACTATCATAGGTTCATTTGAACCTTCAGAATTTTCTGAAAATTTTTTTAAACCTTTGTTTGCAAGTTCTTGTACTATAGGATTATTAATATCTATATAACTGGATGCTCCAACTAATTCTGACCTTTTGTTTTTATACAAGATTTGTGATTTATTAATTATAGAATCTTTTTTTGTTGGATAAATAATTTCTTCTTGAACTTCATGTTTTTTTATTTCCAAATTTGATTGACTTTCTGTTGTAGGTAAATCAAAATCTTTTAAAAATTCATCAAATTCTTTTACTTTATCTTCAAATCTTTGAACTTTAGCATCATTATCACTTCCATTAACAGAAATTTTTAAAATAGGATGTTCTGTCACTTCTGATTGTTCTGGTTCTTCTGATTTCTTAGTTGTGACATAAGTATAATTATCAAGAATATTTTTTAAATTTTCTAAAGCTTCCAATTTTTCTTTTCTATTAGGTATTGATGTTACAAGTGCTTCACTATTTATTGTTGAATAGGAATTAATATTTTTTTTAATTTCTGCATTATTATTCAAAGTACAATTGTTTTTTACTATTTTACGGCTAGATTGTTGCCATGGTTTTTCTTCAAATGTTACCAAGCATATCTTAAAAGAAGAATTTAAGTGGATAGAGCATTCTGATTGTTCTACTGCATTTTTTAAACAATCAGATTCTCCTATATGTAATAAGATTTGGTATTGTATAATATTAGATGAAGGTGGAATAACACGAGTTACTTTGACAATGTCGATTACTTTGTGTTTAAAGTCATTCTGTATTAATTCATCCATTGACTTTGCTACTTGTTCTCCAAAAGAAATAAATCCAGGTAAATTTGGATTTAGCTCATATGGACATCCTGGACAATAATTAGGACTGGAAGCTCTCATTGCTATAAATGGTCTATCATTATGATCTCCATTTTTCTGAATTTCATGATCTAATTCAATGCTTTGATTATTAATAATTTGTTTGTCTAAATTTTCAATAATGTGATCCTGATCTTGATTATTTTCTTGTACTTGTAATTGGTCATCTTGTCCAGATTGAGGATACAAATACATACATTGTATTGATTCTTTTAAAACATTTATATCTCCAAGTTCATGTTGTTTTATTTCAATAGTACATGCTTCTCGAGGACAAGGTTCTAATGCTTCTTTACAAATAGGAATTAAATCAAATGTAAGCCTATATATTACATATGGAGATTCTTCCTGAAAGTTAAGAAATTAAACAATCTTTTTATAATTAAATTAATACAATATACATTTAATTCTAATCTATATAAAATCTATATATCTATAATAAAAATTTAGATTTTAAAAGACTGATAGATAATATACCAATTTTTGCGCGCTAATCAGGTTACCGCCCCTATATGTATGATGCGTCGGAGAATCTTGATTCAAAGAATTCAAGGCACGTTGAATTAAAGGCTCCGGAACATTTTGTACTGGTTTGTTGACAGAATCACAAAATACAAGAATTGGAGTAACGATTAATAAAAATAAAAAGCGCGTTTTATGTAAAAGTAAGCCTGCCATCTTAGTGCACACACAGCACGGTATTGACTTCCAATGGTTTTAACTGACGTAATTGATTCTTGGATGAATTTTTATATTCTTTTATTTATCGTTGAATTAAAAATAATAATAAATTAAAAATAAGAAATTAAGTTTTAATCTGATTTTGATCACTCTATTTCTTCTGTAAATATAAATGCTTATGCGATGTATTCGAAAATAACAGATCTCAACAAGAACAACAAATGAGATGATTTAATACATGTAAATAGATATGACAAATTAAAAAAAACTGGTAACATTTTTCATTATAAAAGATACATACTTGACTTTAATTACGAACTCATGTTTTTATAAATATTTTTATTGCATCAAAGATAAGATAAATTCTGTAATTTAATATGTGGTTAATTTGTACTCTATTAATGTTTAATTTATATTTTATAATTAATATAATTAATATTATAATATAATAGTTTCTTGTATTTTCAAAATATAAAAAAATTTTTATTTCGTATTAATATCTTAATAAAAAATATTAAAAATAATATTCATATTTATATGTATCATATATATATTTATACATTATATATAATATATAAACTTAGATTTTTTTAAATTCTCTAAATATTCATATTATATAATATGAATAATGATGCGAAAAAAAAGCGTTCATTATTTTGAACCATTTTGAAATAAAATCTAATAACTTAAAAATTATTAATATTATGTAAATATATTCCAATATATATTTATATTAACAGTTTATAAATTTCATGAAATACGAAAATAATTAGATGTAAACAAGAATTTATAGGATAATAGAAAGTATTAAAAATATTTCATAAAATAAATTTGAAATATGTTTAACATTATATTAAAATAATAAAAATAATTATATTTATTTGTATTCATTTTACTAATATGTTTTTCCATGTCAAAATAAAAATTATACAATTTTACAAATTTATAATAAAATTTTCCATATGATAATTAAAAAATTTTGACTGTATTTTTATTAATTTTTTTATTATATACTTCATAAATTTTTTATAATAATATTGCTTATATATTTTTACATTCAAATTTTCGCGCCATTTTTAAAATTGATGTTAACCATTTTCAAGTTCCGGTTGTCAAAAAAGCAGCAGCTGTTTCACTGTATCGATGTGATCATCAGTAATAGCTGTAGTGTCTTCTAAAAAGTCAAATATTTAAAATATTTAAACAAATTATACGATAGTGATTTGTGAGAATTCATTGATTATCCTTGGTAAGCGAATACAATATTTAATATAACTTACTTCAAATGAAATGTATAGATTGAAACTAACAAAGTACCACATTGCAGTGAAGTTGTATCGATTTTCTACTTTATTCTAGCTATCATTTGACTCATATCAAAGTACGTATATGTTACTAATTTTAATGAATTTAGAATTTTTTACAAATTTTATTTTTTCTTTCTTTTGTTTTGTTATTTTATTTTATAAATTTAATATAGTTACATATTTAATAGATTAAATTTTTTTCTATACAAATTATTTATAATTATCGTGGCTTTGAAAGTTAGATAATTAATTCAACTTAATATACATTATATTTCTTATTTCTAAAAATATTTATTATAATAATACATATATATGAAGTTTAATATTTTATTTATTATAATAGTTATATATTTTTTAACAATTTTTTTAATTTTAAGATTCTTAATTTAATTAATTTTATTAAATTTAATTTAATTTTAATTATTTGTTAATTTACTTTTCAATTTTTTCTAAACGAATATATATGAAAGATAAATAAAATAATTTTAGATATATATTTAAATATTTTATAAATATTTAAATGTTTTCTTGAAAAAATATCTTAGTAAATAATTTTAATGATATTTTGAAATTATAAGAATTTTATTAGTAGAATTTATTAATATAGCTAATTCATTAGAGATTTTAAATTAATTATTATAATAATACATTAAATTTATATTATTATCTTAAATTAATATTATTATATAAAATGATTGCAGTTTCCATATTTAGTCCATATTTTGTGCATATATATATATATTTTTCATTCTATATTTTGTTTGTTTTATTTTTTTTCATTTTTAAATAAATTAAATTATAAGTGAGACAGTAAGATTCGTTATTTAACACTTGATATGTATCGTAATTTAAAAATTGTTTTCTTTATATTATTGCGATATTATACTTGAAAATCGGCATAATGGATCAATGATTCTCTAATTATGAGTATTATGTTTACATTGTAATAGTTGAATAATTATTTTGGATTAATATTCAATATACATAAAATTATATTAATATATATTCATTATATATTAAATATTAAAAAATTATTAATTATATATTAATATAATTAATCATTAGAAAAATTAAATTTTATATTATATAAAATTTTTAAAATTTGTGATTAAAAGAAATGTTTTAATATAAAATACGAATTTCGCGCCTTGAGTTTGCAGTTTTGTAATCTGGTCTTTCTATTGGTGCTTTTCTTTGCCGACGACATTTTACCCCCACTATGAATCGAATGCTGTTCTGAAACTCTGCGACTGCTCGTTGCTCAGTAGCTGAGTACTAATCTTCTAGTCGGAGAGAACGTTTCGTGAATTTTGCTTACGATTTTACCGGTTTTTCACACTTTTAGATAAAAAGTGTTAGTGATAATTCTGAAATTTTTTATTTACAATTCTTCAGCTGAACAAGCTGATTATAGAATTCACTAGCAGTGGAAACACCCATCGAAGACAACTTTATTGACGAGTTACGGTTAGTAATAATAGCTAGACTGGTGATACTGCATAGTTTTCTTTTTTTATATACTATATTACCACGATATTTTAAGAATTTTTTAATATTTCAGTTAATTGGTGTTTTTTATTTAGATAATGTTTGAATTTTGTTACAATTATTATATGTGTTCGAATTATTAATTTTTTTTTCATGATATATCAATATAAAAAATGAAAGAGAAATGATATGAATTGCAATTATCAATCAAAATTCATATTTACTATGTATATTTATTCAGAATATTATAAATACTTTTGACTTTCTTATGCAAAGAGAAAATGAGAAGCCAAACAATTCGTCATTAATGGTTTACTTGATATTAAATCGATTTTGTTATAAATTTATTAACTTTTAAATTAGATATTTAATATTTAACGTATAGTACAAAAGATATATATATATATATATATATATATATTCATGTTACATTTTTTTTAAAAAATCTAACAATGATATATTTAATATGATGACATAAAAATTAATTTACGAAATATTTTATTACTTATTTAATTGCAATTTTTATATTTATTCCAAAGTGTAGAAAACATCGTGTTACCGTCTTGAACTACTTATTTTATTTATTGATTTCTTAATGTCATACGTATGCGCGGTCTATTTAATACATATATGAAATTTTGCAAATACATATTTTCTATTTGTTAAATTGATAAAATCAAATAGTTTATATCATTAAAAATGATAAGCATTTTGAAAAGATATATTTTTGAAACTTTTTTTACCGGCGTTAACAGCTGAGCGTCATTGATGAAAAACATCCGAGTATATATATATATGATAAGAGGGCGCTGGCGCGCGCATGCATATATATACATGAATGTATGTGCGAGAAGGACAAAAGAGCATGTATGACGTCAGAATATTAGTATTTTATTTTTAATCTTCAATCTAAGATGGGATACGTAATATAATGATACATTTATGAATCATAAAATGCGAAAATATTCAATTTCTTTCCTTTTCTATGATTATTATTTTATTTAATATTGTTTAACTTTTAAATAAAATTAATAATTTTATTGTATTATATAAATTACACAAATATAAATTAAATTTTATATTACTATAATCTATAAAAAATTACAAATATTGTAATACAATATATTAAATGTCGTAGGAAAAATTAATAATTATTATAACACAATTGAATTTTAACATTAAAGATTTGAGAACATATATCGTATATTTTAAATAAAATTTTTTTTTTAATTTGTTATTATGAATTAACTTATTCATTTTTTCATAAATATTAATCGCTTGATATGACTTTACAATATTCGTTTGCATAATTAAAATATTAATTATGATTTACATTTGAGGAACATCAAATCTCAAACCACTAACTATTCTAAATAGGAAGATATGCGTCAAAACGTGCATCGAAACATTCAAACAATGCGCAGTTTATATATATTCATGTACCTGTATGCATGCAAATTGAAGTTATACATCGTGATATGACCGCATTATTTTGCCGGCACCCGGCACATTGGGCTGCGCGATTGACATTTCCTTCAAAGCACATATATCTTTCCACGTGATCACAGGATCGTCTTTGTCATTATACATGATATCAGTCTTGATATGTATTTTTTGCTATTGAAAATAACAAATGCTTTTCTATTGGATACTCTATCGAAGAATCTAGAATTACGACATAAGTTGCAACGAATTGTAATTTCGTCGCAAAATTTACGCTATTATTTCGATTATCAATATTTTAATCATTCAATATGTGATTTAAACTTGTTCATTTATTAGAAAATTAAACAGCAAATATTTGGATAAATATGAATCAAAAAAAAAAAAAAAAAACCGTATATATAAATCGAATAATTTGTAACCAATGGGAAGCTTTTTAATCAAGAATCTGATTCACGTTTCGTTATGCGAATCAATACTATAAAAAAGTCTGTTTCGCAACAACGCTCAAAAGTATCGTTGATGCTGATACGTTCGTTGAATGCACGAATGTTCGAATGTTCGAGAAACATTTCTTTAGAGGTCTCGTATTGATTTCTAAACACGATTTCCTTCGAATACTCTTCATTTTTCTCTCTTATCGAACACCAATATCTGTTTGTTTGCGATTTGAGAGGGTATACAAACGGCGTCCTCCAGGTCTAACTGTGTAGTCGCCCGTGATCTTGGCGAGGTGCACCGTGACCAGGAGAAACGACGCGATACCTTTCGCCCTGGAAACGAGCCAACTTCGTCTCGAGGGCAAGGACAAGCTCAGTCAATTGATCACGCCATAATTTGTGCGAAACGTTTATTTAGAACCTAACCTTTAATTTTAACACACGTTTTATTATCTCTTTACGAATGAACAAATTCTCCTGAAAGATCGTATATTCGTGGCGCATGTCCCGTATCTTTCTCTCTCATAACGGATATCTTCTCTGTTCATTACACTTTGTCAGCAATTAAATTTACAAGTGCCAATTACCTCAGGCTCTCACACTGTCTTAATGCATTAACAAGGTGTCCCGTGCGCTTTGAACTGTTCGTGAATTTTCTTCTTGAATCTTTTCTGAAGAGATAAGACCAACGTGATGCAATAAAACAAATTCGATACCATCATTTTCGAATACTAGATCAATTATAAATACAATCTTACGATGGAAAACTATAATTTTAATCGAACGTTCAAAAAACTAATAAAAAGAGAACAGATAAATGTATCGATATTGATATCGCATCCGATCGTTGCAACTTTTGACAAAAATTCGATATTGTTCTCACGATAAAAATCTTTTCATCGGCCGCTGAAATTTCTACTTACGATAACACGGAAATCCCCCGAGAGATTGTCGAAAAAAAAAAAGAAGAAAAAAGAGGATATTTATAGAAACGCATCAAGGCGGATGCGTTGGTGTGCAACCTTTTCAACGGTGTTTCTCAACCTACATACGTTGCAGGAGATCCCAGCTGATCGGTTCTCGTGGTGCTGTGAGGATTGAAAAAGTGGTGGGTGGTCCGTTGAGGCGGTTGGTGTGCGCGGAAAGGGTCGGTTATAGGAGGGTTGGAAATACAGGAAGCACAAAGCACGGCGAGAGAGAGAGAGAGAGAGAGAGGAGAAGGCGCGGTCATGTGCGTCTGCGCGCGATTCGGTCGGTGGGTCGGTCGGTCGGTCGGTCGGTCGGTCGTCGGGTATTGATTTTCATAGGAGCACCGGCATACACGTAACTCCACCACGTAAACGCGTATACATGCATCCACGACGACTGACTGGCTGGCAGCTTTTGCCAAATATCTGCGTAAAATTTCGCAATCGCAGATTCTCGACACGCTAAATCGACTCATTCCTGTGTTACGCCTTCGAGAGAATAATACACTTTGCCGCTACTCTCTCATTGATCAAGTACAGATTCTTTATTAGCGTTCCCTGTGCACCTCGTTTTCGAAAGTACGTCATACGCGATTTATTCTATATATTTCTTCTCTGTTTTTCTCGAGAATTTTAATGCATATGTACATTTGCTGGGTATTTGATTTTCTCGGTCCAGCATGTACTCTAAATGAAACGTAAATGAATAATCGTGATAAATACTTCGATAGAAACTGTTTTAAATTTCCTCGTTTATCTTCTGCCTTGTTATTTAGATTCGTTTAAGATAATGGATAAACTAGATGGATGATTCTAAAGATTTAGAATCTACGAAAACAACTTGTAATTTATCTTTTATCCTTTAATGTTGCAGAATAGTCGAGTCTCCATACAAGGAGGTGCGCGAGCTGCAGAGTGAACGAAGAAGCGCGATCATAGAAGAAAGCTAATCGTCAGGCACTCAACAAGATGCCTGCTCCAACATCAGCACCGGGTACGGTGGAGGGCCCACCTCGCACTGAATTGCAGGAATTACAACTAAAGGCCGATCAAACTACAGATGAGGTATGTCTATTAATATCAATTTGATAAAATTTTCCGACAATTCTTTAATAACGTGTTTTTATTTAATTTATAATCATTGCATATTATATATCGATTAAATATTTTCAATTTTTTTCGTTTATGCGTGGAAAAACTCGTGTAATTTGTTAGAATATTTTTGATATTTTAACGTTGCGATGCGTTGCTTAACCCACGTGACCCATTCTGTTTCAGTCCCTGGAAAGTACGAGGCGTATGCTGGCATTATGCGAGGAGGTGAGTTCATCTCATCCCTATGAAACTATTCTCTTCTATTTACGCATTAACCTTCATCCTCGATCATCCTCGGTACTAATCCTCGATCCTCGTTACTTATAGCGATTTATTCCCGGAGTTCTTACTCCCAGATTTTGTCTCATAAAATATTATAGAAGTTTAATATCGCTGGTAAAATCGTTGCATCACGGCAAAGATGGGCGTCATAGTCGATCCTCGGTGCAGTTGAAGAAAAGTAACAAAGTAAAAAAAAAAAAAGGAACAAAGTCATACAAAAAAAAAAAAAAAGAGATATAATGACATAAAAAAATGGAACGCGCTGGAGAGAGACGGGCATAATACTATTTCAGTCAGATTAGAAACTTTGAAATTGTGTACATGTATATCTAAGTATATGTATACCTGTACGAGAGAAAATGAAGTGGCGTTTTATGCAAATTACAATAGAATGAACACAAGAAGATATTTCAACGTATGATGAAAACAGTCAGATTTATGTGGCGTCATACAATCGTGAAATAGTATTTGACCCAGCTCCGGCGCCAGAAATATTCTTCGTTCCTATAATACTTATCAATGTGTATATTTTGAACAATATATACAGTCAACGGAAGTTGAAATGATAGCCATATACATCGAGGTATTATGGCTTTGTTTGACGCGAATAATTTTTTTATGATGAAAGCAAAAAAAAAAAAAAAAAAAAAAAAAAGAGACATTTTCCTCTTAAAGAAAAAGGGGAGAAAACAGTATCGCACGGGTGCCAAGCAATATCTATATGTTTTATATATTTATATGTGAATATACTCGGAAGAATTGTAAGACGACGCATCGACGCGGTTCGAGACGGTAATCCGCAGCACGAATGCACGCGATGATATCAATGTTACATCAAAAATTGATGACACAAGCAGACAAAAGTTACTGCATTTATTTCGTGTTAATTTTGTCTAAAATTAATTATTTCATCACACGGGAAATATGTCTGTTTAAAGAATCACAAGTGAAAATAAAAATTATCAAAATGATAATATATATATATATATACTTATACATTGTTCTAAATGGAACGCGTGCGTTCGTGTGCGCGTTTTCGTGTACTCTTGTCTACGTTCTTCAGCTCCGCATTTTTCTTCCCATGCATAATTATTATTCGTTGTCTATGCTCGTATCTTGGATATCTATTCTCGATATATGTACGTCTCTAAGTGTGTGCGAAAACTATTACTGTGTATATCCGATGTCTTCATTCTTTTCCTGTTTAACTTGTTATTAATTGTCGAAGGAGCGAACGCAATCTATAGCCCTAATCCATTTTGTACTTTTATAAATGAATAAATATTTTTTTCTTTTTTTTTTTATTTATTTATTTATTTATTTTTTTTTCTTTTTTACAATCTATGTGTTTTAGAATGATATCAATGTTTCTCTACATCACACGGAATTTAAATTTAAATTCATATTTATCCGAGTGATCGTTTAAAGTAATTAGAATGCAACGAAGATTAAAAGGTAAGAGGTTGCGTCGCTCCATTCCAGTTTCTTTTGCTACTTATCTGTGGCTGCACTAATTAGCACGTGTCGCATTTCGAGCACTGGAGACTTCAACAACTATTTAGTGTACGTACATACTTCACACGCGAGATATCTCATTGAAAGAAATCTGCCCATATTTAAATATACATATACACAGGGTGTCTCAAAAATTGATGACACAAGCAGACAAAAGTTAATTCATATGATAAACCTCGTACCTCGGCTTGTGTCCTCCATTCTGGAACATCTTGTGTATATCATATATTTATATATGAATATGAACGAATAATTGCTGTCAAATCGATATTAATCGAGTTATTCGAAATATTCGAGGCTTGGAGAGGAATCGAATGTACGAACCTGAACAGTGGGGGCAGTCGCAAGTACGTTATGAAAATAATTAGGGAAAACGAGAAAAAAAAAAAAAAAAAAAAAAAACAGAAATAGTACTCTTAATGCTGCCAGTGGTGGAGGATATCTTTTTTCAGCAATGGTGAATTCCAGCACGTGTGCATTGGGTCTTTTGGAAAGGACGCTATGGAAAACAGAAAACGCTTTTGACGCGTTACGAGATATAGAAGGAATGAAGAAACGTCGATGAATGTGCGGTACTATTTAAACAATTTCCATGATGTATCGTGTACGTCACGTATACGTAGAGATGGCGTGCTTCAATCTTTTTATACGTTGCGTAGAACATTTTTGATGATCACGATCATAGCGATTAAGATAGAGGGTAAATAGGACTTTTTTTTTTTTTTCTTTTGCGTTTTCTTCTCTCCATTTCTCTTTTCTCTCTAGATTTATTTTTCTCCCTATAGATATCCTTTCCCTGGTTTTTTTTCTTCTTCTTTTCTTTTCAATTCTTCTCGATCTATCCAACTTTTTTTATCTAATCTTTTTAACGCCTTTGCGACGATAAGCGAACAAATTTCTTGATATTGATGATAGTGATGGTTAATATCATTGTTGAAACGGTCGAGAAGAATCCGTTCGTAATACGAACTTATCGAAAGAATATAACAATCCTTTTGTATGTACGTGCACAATCCTCTTTCAGTTGCTTCCGTCTTCTTCTTCCACTTCCTGTTTTCTGTTTCTCTTTATCTGTATCTTCCATGCATTCTGTGTGCAACATTTTTCTTTCCTTACTGTGGATCGCGTTTTAGAAATATCGATTCGATGATCGGTAAAACTTGCGTGAATAAATCCTTCGCATTTTTCATCGAAATTTCAATTCGAAAAATATTATAATAAACGATTCTTTTATCTAAAGAAAAAAGAAATCTACGATTTGTAATTAAACATAAGAGAAGAAATATTTAAAAATATGCCGATCATTGAATCGAGAAGGAAAGGCTCATCCCAACTGGGAGCGTGAAAATCTCTAGGAAACGCCTATGATTCTCCTCATAGTTTGTCAATTACCAATTGTCTATTAGAGGCTGATCAAGACAGGTAAATAACAGTATAACGACAGCTCTGATCTCGAAAATGGAAAAAAAAAAAAAAAAAAAAAAAAAGAAGGAAGAAGAATCTCGATTTTGGAAGCGCGAATCGAGAAAAGAGCGCCGCGTATACCGGCAACCTCTCTGTCGCTGCTACCAGTGTAATCAGTGTAATTGCTGGCTGAACCGGGCATTTATCGATATTGTCCGTGTTGCTGGCTGTGTATGTATGCGTTCTCACGTGTGCGGTGTGTGCCCACGTGTGTGTTTGCTTGCTTAAAAATTCGACAAACTCAATATACACTCGCTTGCTCGATCGCCCGCCTGCCTGCCATCGCAAACTTCCTGAAAGTTTACACCGGCGACTAGTCACCGGTGTCCAGTCTCCTCCAGATCGTCAATCATTCGTATACCATATATTTCGAATATATATATTTCAATCGATCAATTGCAAATGCAAGAGATCGATCGAAGAGAATTTCGTTCGTACCACCGGTGTACCTTTTACAGTTTCCGGTTATTGCCTATTCTGCTTGCAAAGTTTACGAAGCGCAAAATTTTTAATCGAGCGATACGCGCAATGTGTAATGACAGGTTTGTTCACATTCTGGAATATAGATTTTTCTCTCGTCGATGAATGAGATGTCACACGGTCTTCGCGAACTTTGCCGCCTTATCTGCCTTGGCTGTTTGGCTGCCTGTGTGTGTTTGCCTGTCCTCCGCGAGAACACTCTTCATTTCTCTCTCTCTCTCTCTCTCTCTTTCTTTTTCTCTCTACTACTACTACTACTACTACTACTACTACTATATCTTTATTTCTCTTTCGATGCATCGTGCTGTCACTTTTCTGGCTCTCCGTATCATTCTATCGATACTCCGCACAAACCACGTTCACTCATCACCGTTCACTCACAGAAACACGGTTGGCATACGAGGGGTTCGCGGGCGAAGAGAGAGGTGGCTGATCGAGAATTACCAAAATCGATCGGGGTCGATTTTGATCGATTCCAGGGAAACAAGCTACGTCGCTGTTCGTTCACCGAATCTATCACGCTATCACCTTCTTTTCCTTCTCGTTTCTTTCTTTCTTTCGTTTCGTTTTGCTTTCAATCGTGGATTCAAGTCGATCGCTCTCTCGTCTTGTCTGCCAAAAAGATGTCGTTCACTTGTCCATGCATCATCCACCGCCGTCGCCTCCGCTACCACCAACCACCACCACCACCACCACCACCACCACCACCACCATCACCACCAACCACACCGTCATACGACCGATCGAACTCCCCTCACTCGTTACTCTTTCTTTATTATGCACCTGAATATTCGCCAGAGTATTTACCCGAGAGAACAAAGTAATAAAACATTGAGATGGAAAGATAAATGAACATCCGGTAAATACTCGGAATTACCACATATTATAACTTTTAAATTCAACGGCTCGCTCTATCTCGTTTTGATTTCTTTCTCTTTTCTCTGAAAACTTCATGCACATTTCCTACGTGGATGAATGCGCACCGCTTCTCTTTCAAGCTGTACGAGGAAAGGAGCAAAGAACTTCTTTTGTTTCCGTTCTCGTGACCGACTAAATAGAAAAAGCGTTCCAGAAAAGCACACCCGTAATTAGTTGGGCGGCCCTACGCGGTCAGAACATTAATGGATGATAATTCTTACAGCACGAGTATCCCTTGCAGCCTCGAGTATCCGAGGTTTTCTTTTCTTTTCCTCTTTTTTTTCTTTTTTTTTTTTTTTTTTTTAAAAATCTATTTCCTTTATCTTCCGCAATTCGTTTGAATCAGAGATCGTTTGTTGTTGGCCGGAGCGAGAAAAGCTGGTACGGGACGAACGCGCCGGGATTGTGAAGAGATCTCGAGATCTCTTTCTTACCGAAAGTTTCGCTTAGAATTGTGCAAAGGAAAAGAAAAGATAAAAGTATCGTTTGTTAAAAACGAATGATGATTACGGCAAGGTTTCTTCCCTCCCTTGTTGGTTTTATCCAGTCGAAAAGCTCGGCTCCTT